ACAAGACATTGCCTATATTTTTAAATAGGCAATGCCAAAAAAGTCCACAGGAACAATTACCCGTCTGCAAACTAATCACGGCTCATTCCCAGCTCACTTCTTCTTCTTAGGGTGCCTGTCCGTTCCGCACGTTGGCGATCATTCTGGCTATGATGACTTTGTTGGTTGCTATACGGAATAGCTCTGTTGAGGTCCTTCCCTACCATGCTCTCAGTTTAACAAGCCAGGATACTCTTCATCCTGGGGCCCTTTTTCCTCAATTCGCTTATCGCTCATGCGATAATATCACAATCATCAACCATATTCTTTTCAAGTGCGATAAACATAACTATGAAACAGATCAGCTGCATTCAAAACTATCAGATCTTAAAATTCAGACTCCCATAAACATCACTAATTTACTTTTCTTAGACAGTAGAAAAATATATGAACTAATATGCAAGTTTCACTTTAAATTTGGTTATATTCTATAAAAACAAATATATTATAATTCAATGGCTAAAGGACTAGCTTCCAAGCCAACTCTCCAAACACGCACACACACACACACACACACACACACACACACACACACACACACACACACACACACACACCACACTATACCACACCACGAGATAAGGGAGGTAGTTTTACAATGGTGGCATTTATGGAAGCTGCTTTTTTATGTATTGTTTTTATTGTAGATTTTGTCTAGTTCTCAGGCTATTGCTTGGAATTCGATATTTTGTTACAGAGCAAATGTAATATAAAAAAATATAAACTACAGTCGAATTATATGTATAAATCTAGATAGTCGGACTTAGAACTTTTAAGCCGTATTTGTTTGGCTTCGACTGCATTTGAAAAACAAGTTCTAAAATTGGATTTGCCTATGCGTCCCAAAAATTTTTTTGGATCAATGTTTGTTACCGGTGCTTACCACTGGTACGTCGTAAACAAAATATGTATAACGACAAGATCATGGGAACAATGTATGCAGGGTAGTTGCCTGAAAAATTAAATCCCCAATGAAAAAAATATGCCAAAGAACAAAAGTACATAATACATAAAAAATTACGACTAATAAGCAGTGCCGGTTTAACCAGGGGTCTTTTCGGAGCTGTAGCACCAGTCGGTTGAAGGTTCCCAAGCGGTACGCGCGAAGCGCGTGCTGTTCTGAAATTGTATGGTTATGGTAAAATAAAATTTGCATACAAATCCACATGATATAATAATAATAAAATTTTGTTTTATCATTAACTTTGAACTTATTTTGGAGACTTATTTTGTGGAGAATCAGTGCAAGAGCACTTAGTATTACCTGTTTCAAAAGTATTAGATGATGAAGCAACCACCAGTAACTCGGGTAAAGCATATTTAAATTTTTTGTAACAAGGCTAAAATGCAAAAAGATAATGATGCCTTTACCAATGGTAACTAAAACAGGACAATGACAAATATTCTTTTTATTTCTTTTTACATCCAAAACAGGATTTACCTAACTTGCGAGATCCAGCACTTTGGCAAGATTACTAGAAAAATGGGTCGATCAGAAGCTTACAGATGAAAAGATTCGTGGGATTTTATAAAAACACTGGACATAGCTCACAAAAACTTGAGGAAACAGTTATTGGGATGTTAAAGTCTTTGAAATTAGATATTAAGAACTGGAGAAGCTAGTGTTACGACAATGGCAGTAATATGAATGGCAAGTATTCTGGTTTGCAAGCACGTATTAAAGTTTACAATGATTTAGCTTTCTTTGTGCGATGTGCTGCTCACTCTTTAAATTTGGTTGTCCAAAATGCAGCAGATTGTTATTTGGAAGCAACATCTTTTTTATGTTGGTGCAAGCTATCTACAATTTTCTCTCCGTGTCTACACACAGATGGCAGTTATTGTCTCGTGCAGTAAAGGATTCGCCTTAGTCGGGGCAGACACTGTTACCTAAAAGAGTGAATACAACCCGTTGATCTTCTAGTTTTGATGCCGCAAAAGCGTTAAAAAGCAATTACGGTTTCATTAAAATATGTTTGATTGAAATGTCAATGGATATAAATGAGAAAAATGTAAAAGTTGAAGCAGCTTCTCTATCGGAAAAAACTGGATTTTTTGGAAAACGGAATAATATCTATCATTCTGGTTGACGTTTTACAAAGGTTTAATGAGGTTAATAAAGAGGTACAAAATATGGATTTAAGCACAACCGTTCATCTGTTATCATCTTTAACAGATTACTTTGATTTCTTACGTGATCGTTTTAGCCAAAAAGAAAAATTGCGAACACAATGTTATGCTTTTATAATAGAAATAGACAATCTTAAGTCGGAGATTATTCGCCGATCTGATAGTTATAAATCTTGTTTAAGAGCATTTGAATTTTTGGTTAAACTAAAAAAAAACGGAAGATGAAGATATTTTCAGATCGGCAACCGAATTACAACAAAAATACAAGGCGGATTGGGACGAGTATTTTCCCCAAAAATGTGTTCATTTAAATCTTTTGTTAACGTCTCTTCCCCAATTAAAAATAGACACTCCTTTAGAATTGGTACAGAACGCTCTCTTTCGACACTAAAAAGTGTAAAGACCTACTTAAGAAATGCAATTTCCCACGAAAATTTGAACTTCTTAGCAGTTTTATCCATTAACGAGGACCTGCTAAATGAATTAAATATAAATATATCATCGAAAACTTCGCTTCAGTAAAAGCAAGAAAACAAGCTTTTCAATAGTAAAGGTATTTGATCGCCTACCTCATGTTACCTGTTTGAAAGTTATTAGGTAATTTTTATTTTACTTTTTGAAGTTTGCCCTTAATTTTTTTCTTGTATTTTGTTAGTATTCATTTAAATTTGAAACCCAAACAAGTTGTAATTGTTTTACTTGTTTTAATAAATTTGTATTGATAATTTTTATTTTTTTCCCAATAAAAATAATATTTTTTCATCTGTAATGCTAGTTGTCTATGAACTGCCCATATACCAAAATATTTTAGTTCCTGTGACAGCCTGATTGGTGTGCCCATGCAATCTGTATCTAAGACTGGCTAGTTTTCCAACATCCGTATTTTTACCGACTGTCGAATGAAATGAACTAAAAAATAAATCTTAACAAAAAACTAAAAATAGTTTTATAAAATTTAATGATCTTGTGTAAAAATTACCCATTTCACAAGTTTTCATTATGTATTGCACCAAAAAAGCACGTTGAATAATTGATTTAAGGATTTTCCATACCAAAAGCTGGTTCTTATTGTTCATATTTCCGTGCACCAATTTTTTTCCTACGCTAAATTTGCCTTAAATTAACGTTAATCAAGTGTACAAAAATCAAAATACTGTAGGAAAAATGATCAATATTATTGCCAAAATATAATCAGATCAGTGCCCAGAAGGTTAAACAAATTATTGGATGCAAATCGGACAAAAAACAAAATATTAAACTATTCAATTACTTTATTCAATTACTAAGATTTAAATGGTACTTTCGAATAACTTATTTAATTAATTTACGCATGTAAATATCAGTGTTATTATAACATTTAAAATTAAAGATTAATATTATGAAAAATTATAAAACTATTTGTTATTGGGTTTTGAAAGTGTAATCTAAAAATGATCTAAGCTAAATTCAACTTGGTAGAAACTATCATTGCTAACAAACCTAATATAGATAATATTAATAGTGTCTCTTTGTACCGCTAGCTTAACTTTGGGATTATAGCAATGTTTAGGATAAAACTTAAGAGGTCGCTAGTTAAATGATATTAGATAAATAATTATAAAGAAAAAATGCAATATTTGTTTATAAATAAATTAGCGAAAAAATAGTAACTATTAATTGTGAATAAATTACGAAATAAACTACGTACAAAGAATATAGACTTACCCTTTAAAATATTGAAGTCATATTCTTAGCCCGGGGACTCTCGATGGCACCGCGTCGGGACTCCCAGGTACTCCTCCTAGGCTGTATCAAACTAGGTCCGTTTCGTTCACTGTCTTACGAAGAAGTGTCTTGAGATCGTTCGAGGTCAAAAACCACCCTCTAACCGTTGGGTGTTCAACAGTTCGTAGGCAAAAGCATGCCATAAATCAACCTTATTGTCAGACGATTTTGAATGGCGATAATTTTAAGTTAATTGTTACGGTAATACGAAACCTTACACTTGTTTCAATCTTTGTGACACAGAATACAAAGAAAAAAGCCAAATTCTGCGTACTTAAACATAATAAATGAGATTGTCAGTTTAAGTTTTACGAAATAACAGGAAGTAATATATTTTAAAAAAGATCGTTAGAATACAGTATTAAACTAGATCACATTACAGTACCGTAACAGCAAAAATATTAAATGTAAAAATATGAAACAAAATAATACATACTTTCCCAAACAAGCAAGATAGTTTGATATCTCCTATGCCTATGGTATACAAGGAAATTAACAGGGCCAGTGCTACACTTCAACCGCCTATTATTATCTCAGATTTTACCTAAGGTGCTCATTTTAATCAGGCTCAGTCGAGATATTTTAAAAATCTCTAGATGTTTTCACCAGCGCTGGAATTCAATCCCTGGCTTTCTCCCTGGAAGTCAAACATCCTACCGTCTGAGCTGTCCGGTCCCCTATTATACATAATAATATAAAATATTGATATTGATAATTGATTGTTTTTGTGACTCTATTATAGTTTTGCATTAGGTATAAAATTTCGTTACGAGACTACTGTCGTAGTCGTAGACACGTCCGTTCCATGACAAATAAATTTAAGATGTACTAAATTATGTTAAAATTTTCTTTTCAACTAAATTGATATTTATAATACATAGAAATAGACTTTAGGCTTTCTTTTAGATAAAAATGATTTATTAATATTTTTCAAAAACTGGGTGGGTTACAACAAAAAGACCTAGGGCTGTTCAATGGAGTGGTTGCTCGATTTCCGACATGACAGAAGGAGAGAGACAGCGTTATACAGAATTAGTGAAAGCGAAGGAGAGCAATTTTTGCCAGATGTTGAGGTTGAGTTTTATTAAAAGTTGAAGTTTCGTGTGAAAATTTTCTTCAGAAATTAACTGTTTTTTATATGATAGATAAATAATAGTTGTAGAATTCGTTTTATATATAAAAGACGTGTATTAATGTGTGACTGTGATAGTACATTGAATTATAATAGTGCAGACTGAAATTAAGTTAAAATGGCGATTTGAAGAGCAATGGTGGACATATGAAACTTTTCTACATTAGGAACCTTCACAATGGAAGACACTTCTCTAAATCTACAAAACGGCGGACAAATGGGGCCCCAGGGCGGTTCTGTAGTCAATAATAAACAAAATGAAGATGTTAATCCCAAGGCTCATTATTCTATACCGGGTATCTTACATTTTATTCAACACGAATGGGCTAGGTTCGAGTTAGAAAGATCACAATGGGAGGTTGATAGAGCTGAATTACAAGTAAGTTATTTATCATATAGCTTTTACAGATATCCAGATTAAATATTCCTAAAACATGCTTATATATTTTCATTGTAACTAGGCCTCAACACAAATTACAATTCAATCGAAAATATTTGTTTTGTTAAAATTTTATTACATTCTTATTAAAACATTGCTTTTAGTGTGAAACATCATATCTTAAAAATAAATAGTTTATTTATTAATATTTGATATGGCGCTTTAAAAGAAAATTCTATTTTTTAAATGAAATTCCTTTATCACAATGCATACATTATTATCAATAAAATATTACTTTTCTATGATTACGTTTAGATAACAACTGAACTATTTAGTAATAAGAACTTAGTTTCCTGATTACATTTTATGTATTTTTGTTCAATATTAATAATTATTCCTTCAAAATATAGATTTACTTTACAAAATAAATTATTTTATTAAAGTACTTTAAGAGACTGTTTAAAATTATTAATGTTGACGTAATAATTGGCATACTATATTAATGTACAATAACTTAATTAAATTGATTTTATTAATGCAACCCCTCTATATTGGATAATCAAATGCATCAGATAAATAGATGTAGGTACATTATGAGAGAATGGAAATTGAAGCATTTAAATAGTTTTTAAGGTCATACTTGTCACTTTACAAAATATTTTAAGATTGTCTTTGATGCTAGAAATTCTAAAATTGTCAACTAAAACTAAAAAATTTTCTTTTATAATTAAACATTTTGTGTATTGTAGTTTATATCTAACACATATGTTGTGAAATTTTTTATTTTGTAAAAAAGATTACATAAAAATAAAGTACAAAGATCAAATAAAATTAAATATGCTTACTGTTACAAACAGATAAAAAGTGGTGAAAATCTTACACAGGTAAGGCACTTAATTGTCTGACACACAATTGAACATCAACACAAAAAACAACAAAAATGAAAACCTATATAAGAACTACCAAGATAGTTTAGAAACAAAATAATGTCAAATATGGCCCAGGATGGACATATTCCAGGATGGACAAAACATTCTTGAACATGATTCAAATAAAAAAGTTGAAACTATATTTGATATCAATGAAAAAGGAAATGTGTGTAATATGATCTTGTGTGGAGATGTAAAGATGCTGTTTATCAGAGGTTAAACTGTATTAATTTTCTTACCCAATTGAAAAGAATCCACTGATATCAAAACTAGAAAAAATTCCAAAAACTAACTACATATCTAAGTATTAAAGTGACAAGTTGGATGGTTTATTTAGGTAGGTATCATCTATTTTTTGATACATACCACCATCCATTTGTCCAAAAATCATTCAATCATTCACAGACTCATCCATCTCCTGTCCAAAAACCATCTTCTGTTTTAAAATTCATTCATTTGCCACTAATACAATGATCAGTCTAACATCTTATGCAGAAAATAGTTTTATGTCAGGTTTTGACTTTGGAATTTCTTCCAAAAGACTTACAACTAAAGAAATTGTTGTAGCTTAACATCGAAGCTACAACCTTCAGATAATTCTCAAAATTCCAGACGACTCCAAACCACCAAGAATTTGCAACTCTAAAATATCAGTTCACTGTTTCTGAGATACTAATTCTTCCAGTAGACAAAGTCTTTTAATACTACTTCCACAATCATTCATGATTCCACTCTTGAAGTTGAACACGAAATTTCTTTTTTCATCAAACAATCCAATTTCCTGGCGATGTGGCGATCTTAAAAAGCTTTGATTCCTAAAATTTCCAGTTGCTTAGAATTTAAAAATTATCGTTTCACATCTGGATAAGTTGGGCATTTGACGTATCGTATGTAAACCACTCCCCAGCTGTCAGGCTAGGTGAAATACTTAGCATGACCAACAGTCTTCTGTCCCAAAGAAGTTATCTAGGAGCGTAGCTAAATGTTGAGTTTTATCAAAGTTATGGTCAATATTCATATTTGTATTACAAAGTAGAATAATTACACACTCTACACATTAAAGATGATTTAATTCACTTTTTAAAAAAACATTGTGCCCTGAAACACTGGAACATTACTACCAGAATTTGAATTATTATCACATATATTACCAGATATTGTTTTATTTATTAAACATTATTTACTAACCTTCAGAAGCAGAACTGAAAATACTTTTCAGTTTTTTTCCAGGCACAGATAGGACTTTGACAAGGAGATAGCCTATCGTGCCTTCTATTTAACATTGCCCTAGAGAAAGCTATTAGAGAATCGGGAATAACAAGAGGAACCATTATTAATAGGAGTGTACAAATACTGGCGTATGGGGATGACATCGATACTACAGTAATAAGAAAGGCGGATCTTTTCCAATTGTTCACCGCATTGGATGCAACAGCAAAAAGAATAAGCTACACGTTAATACTAGTAAAACTTAGTATATGAAGGTGATAAGTAATAAGCAAGTAGCAAAATTCGAAGATCTAACAGTTGGAACATATGCTTTCTAAGGAGTATACCCGGTTCGCTATTCCCAGTCCGAACTGTCTAGTGATTTTAGTAATTATTTTTTTTCGAAGTTAGTAACTTTTTGACAGACTCGAAGTGGCTGGAAAATACTATATACAACCAAGCATACGTGCTCTTAGTCAATATTATTGTAAACAAAAGTAAATAAAATAGAACTTTGCCGACAATCAATATTTATTTATTTACACCGTATAATGTATTGATAACAAAATAATAAAATTATTTATTGTACAAAATAAAAAAGTGGGAATAAATTCTACAAAATTAAGAAGTCAAAGTGAGGTTTAATAAGAATAAGACACAGCAAGTTCCTTATGTATTTACATTTACATAATTTGATAAATACATTTTAATAATCAACTTACCTCAACAGGGTTTTCATTCGACAAATAATTAAAAAAAATGGTAGGCATTTTGAATCAAACTTTGTGCAGTTTTATTACGTTGTAATCTAGGAACAGCATCCTTACTAATCTAAAAATATTAATTACTATTAAACTGGGAATAAGCCACAATTAAAGATAAAAATACGTTTATTGACGTTTCAATTTCCACTTCGGAAATCATTCTCAAAATACAAACAGTAAATTAAACAAATTTTGTTTTTTCAACAAAAAACAAAATTTGTTTAATTTACTGTTTGTATTTTGAGAACGATTTCCGAAGTGGAAATTGAAACATCAATAAACGTATTTTTATCTTTAATTGTGGCTTATTCCCAGTTTAATAGTAATTAATTTACAATGCCACAAGAAAATAGCTTCAGAACAATATTAAAAATATTAACTTAAAAAAAAACTTTTTAAAAAACATTTTATCATATTTATTAAGAAAAACTTACCAACGCATTAGCTGATGGAACAAATGGAAAATTTTGACTATCCATAATAATAAAATTTAAAATATAACTAACTAATTAACTGAATAGAACTAACAAAAGAATTAAACAAAGATAATAAAACAATATTAAATTAAATAAACAACGCGAATAATACAAATATTTACTACAATATTTTAAATTGTAACAATTCAAATATTATATTTTAAATATACAGGGAAAATTTGATGGGTTTAGTATACACTTCCACTATTTAGAATAATTCTTCTTTTTTTCAAAGAAAGAGGTCTGCAATAGTAGTATACTTGAGCTATTTATACTGAGAAGTAGGAATTGTTGTGTTGTAGGTTTCCTACAATGAGTCTGTCAAAATATGCCCTAGCTAAGCGAATAGACAATAAGAGAGTTCATGTATCTAAGCTCACAAATCAACCAAAGTAATACAGTAACTGCAGAAATTAACAGACATATATCTAGCAAATAGTAGATACTATGGATTAAAAAAGCTTTTAACATCAAACATAGTTACAAAACGAACAAAAATTAGAATATACAGAACTTTTATCAAGCCTCACCTTACTTACACGTCAGAAACGTGGACGATGACAAAAAGCGATGAAGAACGTTCAGGCTGTTTTATTTATTTATTTGTTTTTTTTATTTATTTATTTTCAACAATCTGCTTCGCAATAAGATTAACAATGTGTACAATGTATAAAATAAAACAAAATAAAATATAAATATCACAAACTTCATCACATAATTTAGTTTTACATATCAAAATAATGATTACCTTTTTCACAGCCACTCAAATAATCACATACCTGAGACCAGAAATATATTCGGCCTTCGGTGCAAAAAAATTTAGATCTGGGTGAATATTTGCCCATCTTAGTGCTCGAGATGAAAAAATATTTGCATAGTTGGTTCTGTGAAGAGGAACATAAAAAGTTTGGTTTAATCGTGTTCTACAGAGAGGTACATGTAGTAGGTACCAACCTGTGCAAGTAACTGAGGACACAAGACTGTAGAATTAATTATGCTATAAAGCATCTTCACATCTTAATTAATCGTTGGTCATACAATGAGAGAATACCAAGTTGGGTTTCAATTTGATCATAATTTACTTGATTTATTGATTGATTTGATTGATTGATCGATTTGATCAATCAATTGCTGTGTAAATATTATAAAATGGAGACCATACACAAGAACAATACTCTAGACGGGGTCTTCTAAAGAACAATATAGTAATTTAATTGCTTCAATATTCTGAAAGTTTCTAGTGAATCTTTTTATAAAGCGAAGCATTTGTAAAGACTTGAAAATTATTGACATATAAGTTATGCGATTCAAATAAAAGTTTACTAGTCCAAATTAATTCCCAGATCACGAATTTCGGTAACCCAGTTAACAAGAATGTTCTGTATATTATAATTATGTTCCATTGAGTCTCTCGATCGTCCAAAAGAAACAGCATGACACTTGAATGTGTTTAGGGCCATGGTATTTAACACACACCACTCACTCAACCGATCAAGATCGTGTTAAAATTTACACAATCTTCTGTATTATTGGTTTTGAACGTAATCTCCTCAGAAATATTTATAAAGGCATGCAGGAAAACAGATTATGGTGTAAGTGCTATAATTTTGAGCCTAATCTTC